TTCATCAGTTATCAAACACTTCATATCATGGCTGGTGGAAAGTGGTTGTTTGTTGTCAGGTAGTTAGGTGTTTTTCAGAATTGAGCATCTTGTTATAAATAATACTATTTCATTACAAAATATAGGCACCTATGGCTTGACTAAAATTAAAATGGATGATGGCATCAAAATTGAATTGCCAAAACAAATATTACATACTCAAAGCTATCATATCATAATGCAATACAAAAACTATTGCAATGGTATGTGCAAAAGAATTTTACTTCAGACAAAGTATTTGTACTATGATTGAACATTTCTAGAAACTAATTTCAACGGCTATCGAATGACAAAATTGTATGACATATTAAACTCGATTAATCCAAATCAACAACATGCTGTAGCAGGGATTGATGAAATTGTTAACGATGCGATGGAAGGATGGAATGTTTTGAAAGGTAGATCATTTATCCAATTTTATAAAGTAATTTCTGCAAAGCGTTCTAATCTTGAAATATAGTGTTATCCTAAAAGCTGTGAGCGAAATGAATAATTCATTTTCTGGAAAGAGAAATTCAGACTAGTTGCTTCTACCCTTGTCATTAAAGTTCTGTTTACTACGTAAGTATTTAGCTAGGTTGAGTATTCTAATACTTTTAGAAAGCATAATTTTACCAAGCCATTGATGAAGCGTCGGAAATGGTTACAATAAAAAAATTTTTAATTAAGAGCGCTTTACAGATATGAACTTTGTCTTTTTAGATATGACTGAAAAATTCTCAATACCACAAATCGATAAAAAACGTCTACAAAAACAAGTAGACATGGGAGTACTATATCAATAACATGGTTATTCTCAACACTGTCAAGAGCATGCCACTTGCTCATATTATTGCATTAATTTTGCATTATCTGATCCAATTGTTAAAGAATTTCAATCACCATGTCACGTACAACATACAGAAAGATGTCCAGAATGTGATAATATACTTTGCACATTGACCGAGATAGAATACCATATCACGAATGTAATTGATTTAGAATATCGTCAAGAGTTTTCTTACGATTTTCACAATGCAAGTGAAAGTATAGTTGAATTATTTCGACATGTTCTACGTGGTGTTTGCCAGGACAATGAAAAAACAAAAATTATTAAAAATTTATCTTCAGATTCAACATTTGCAATTTTTGATTGGGGACAGAAAATCATTCCACAACGTTATCGAGAACCACAGAGAGAGTACTATGGTAAAAAAGGATTATGTGTCTTAGTTGGATCATTCGTTGTACGGAACGTTCCGATGTCTAAAATCAGCAAACCAAATAATGATTCAACAGCAACGCTTAATGATTTAACAACAACATTTAATCATTTAACAACAACATTTAATGATTCAATAACACCATACGACGATTCGACAACATCATTTAATGATTCAATAACAACATTTAATACGTCAATAACAATGTTCCATGGTTTAGCAGCATCATTCAATGATTTAAAAACAGCATTTAATGATTCAACAACATCGTGTGATGATTCGATAACATCATTTAATAATTCAACAATATCATTCAATGATTCAACAACACCACTGAATTATTCAACAGCAACATTTAATCATTTAACAACATCGTTTAATAATTCAACAGCATCATTTAATAACTCAACAACAACATTTAATAATTGAACAGCAACAATTGCTGACTCCAATTATATAACAACAACATATATTGTTGCATTGCCATTTGCAAATCAAAATGATCCTGACACAATCAGTGCAACGCAATTGATTATTGAAAAATTTTATGAAGACCATTCTCACATCAAATATGTTTTTAAAAGATCTGATAATGCAAGTAACTTTAGTTCGCACTCCACGGCAGAAGCCAAACATTTGATTTGTAAAAAAGTAAGTAAATAGATAATTATGATAAGAAAGATTGGGGTCAATCGTTATATTCCATTTCATTTCGTTTGGTCTTGAATTAGTCCTAAGAGATTATAGTGAATTTACAGTGATTATAGTGAGATTATAGTGATTATAGTGTTTCCAGATATTAGATGGGGAAGCGATCTACAAATACTTGGGAATGGAACAGAGGCTAGGTTTAAAGGAGTCTGAAGCGTGAGATTGTGTTGAAGACAAGTGCTGTAAGATAGTAAAACATTTATGGAATTCCGATCTTACTTTTCGACAAAAGTGAGCTTCCATAACTCCACTGTAATATCTGCATTCAGTTATGTTATGAGCAACATAATCAAAGGCAATGGTAAATATATAAGTGTCTTAGAAAAAGGAGAATATATAGATAAAAAGTTTCGCAAGATTTTCGTGGAACTTAAAGCTCGATACAAAGCCAGTTCTGTGTCCAGACTTTATCTACTAACTGAGCAAGAAAGATGTGGTTTGAAATCTGTTAAAGATGCATTAGAGGAATCAACCATATACTCATGGGCGTACCTGTGCACGACAGCACAACTGAGAAGCTCACTCAATCTATTTATAAGTATGGCTAAACGGAAGAAACGATGCGTGATAAGAGATGCGGAGAACGTTCTAAAAAATATGACATAAAACACGAACTACGTAGATCAGGTCTATTTTACTGTCACATTGAATGGAATTCAGTTCGTC